ATTTTTTATCTTTGCAAAAAGAAAACAGTTCATCATACGACCCTTATGACCGGTAATCAGCCCTGTTCTGATCTGGGCAGCATTGGTTCCCCTTTACTTACAATAATAGAAAGTAGTCAGAGACTTTGGTTAACCTCTCAAAACCCACCGGGTCGCCGGCGGCCGCCGTTTTATAGCGTTACTCAGAATGCATAAAAATGACACCAGTAATATGTTTACCAATATGAACATGTTACACGTTGTTGGAAAACAGATTCTCCACAATATAAACCACCAAGTTCATCTTATGGTCATAGTGGTCATGGTCAAAGCACAATTAACCCAGATAATAGCAGCATGTCAAAATGTAAACATGATATAGTCGCCATAAACAAGCAAGCATGGCTTTATTACTACTGTTCAAAAAAGATCTATTATTTTTGAGAATAAAAAAACGACTTTGATTCATTCATGTTTGAACTGAACAGCTCTGGCTTTGTTTTATTCGCCCAATTTTCATTAATATATTCAGAAACTAGAGGGTGTTAACTTTCAAATAATGTATCACACATGTAATTTGGGCTTACAGTTCCTTAGTTTTCTTTTCCATTCGGTTGAGCAAAATATAGCCGAGAATTTCCCAAAATGAGGAGGAACATGTTATGAATAAATGGGAATAGAAGCAAACACTCCTCACTCAGACGGTTTGTGGCCTTGCAGGTGAAACAGACTGAATAAAAACATTTTTCATTGGATAAATGGCTTAACTCAATATTTGAAACAAGAGAAATGTAAATTTTCAGCACAGTGAACACGATGCAGGCGTCACCAGTCTGACCAACGACTTGTTCCAGCCTTTCCAGTCCTTCAGGTCAGGCGTCCTGCAACCTTCAGACGTGTCTCTGCTTTAACAGACCTTAGTGAATAATTAGCAGCACTCTGAGTCTGTTGGGGAGGTAGCTCCGCCCCCCGGCCGTTCATTAGGGCTGAATGGGATTAAAACAGGTCAGTTTGAGGCAGAAGGTGCTTTTTGTCATAAAACTTGCTGATAGTAGTTTGGTGTCTGTTGACCTGATGAAAGATTCTGTGACTGAGGGGAATCATTTCCTCTCCTTTCTTATCTGCATGTCCTTGTGTTTGCTTTGCAGGTGTGAACAGGAGGACGTTGTGACACACGCAGCATGGCTGAACCGCTCCAGTATACTTTACGCCGGAGAGGACAAATGGTCGGTTGACCCCAGAGTGAGTCTGGTGACCCTGAACCAAGAGGAGTTCACCATTAAGATCGAAAACGTGGACATGGCAGATGAAGGACAGTACGTGTGTGCAGTCCAGACCAGCAGACGGCCCAGAACAACTTCAGTTCATGTTTTAGTCCAAGGTAAACCCAGATCTGACAGCCACCTGGCTGCTGAATGTGGCATTAAACCATTAGAGGTTCTTTAACAGTGTTTAGAGGATGATTAGAGTTTATTGGTTAATATAAACTGCATCTAAATTACTGTGTGGATTTTAATGTTTCTACAGATCAGGATTAATCAATGGAAAACCTTTAGCATTATTTAAACTTTATTTAAACTCTATAAAACTGTCAGGACCTCACGACCTTCGACCTGATATTCAAAGCAAACAGATCTGGACAATTTTCAAACAAGCTTTTATTTAATATAATACAGTCAGTGACTAGAATAATGGGCTGATGAGCAAAACGTTGCTTATTCAGAGTTGAGTCCGATCCGAGTGCCGCTTCCAGAGTTCAGAGTGATCAGCAGAGCTGAGCCAGCCACCGCTGAGGAACAACTGTGTCAGTGAGAGATTATCCAGAGGCAGAGTCGAAGCAGAACCTTTTAACAGACCAGAAGATCAGAGGAGAACCCAAGCCGGAAGAACCGTCCAAGTTCGCGTAACCAGCAGAATCCAGGAATCAGTCCAGAATAAACGATCCTGACAGAGCAGGAAAAAAGAAAAACTCTGGTATCTAAAGGTGGAAACAGGCCAGAATCAGAATCTCAAAACAATATAAAGAGCTCTAGATAAACAGCTGGAATGATCTGGCTCTGATGGAAGGCAAACAGGCAGCATAAGAAGCAGCAGGAACCAGGAGGACATCATGAGCGCAATGAGTCACCGCGCCAATTAGACGTGCAGCCTGGAGCCGGACGCTCCGGAGGGATTTACCGTATTAACAGGAGAAGAGGCGCAAGAGAAATTAAACACTGTCGTTAGACAACATGCAGTCATTTATAAATGTTTTAAATCGGGTTGGGTCGGAATCTGGATGGCGGTCCGCTAATCCGTGACCTCTAGACATTCAACCTGGTTGGTCTTTGCAGAGACAGAGACTTTTGGACATGAACTTTAAAAACTCCTGGTTTACTTAAAGGAAATCAGATTTAAATGAATTCATAGCTGTTTGCTGTTATGTAGAAGGAGAATGGCTGTAAATCTATGGAGTGTAAAATGAGCAGGTAGACGGTTAGCAGAAGGTTCTGGAATCATGACTCATTTATGTTTACCATTAAACAACATTTAACCAAAGGAAATGCCTAATTAAATCAGCTTTCCCATAAGAACTCGTTCCACCTGCGTTGAAAAATAAAAAAACTAGATTTATAAACTCATGTGTGTTTATTTAAACCTTTTCCTTTCTCTCTTTCTAACTTAGTGCCTCCAAAAATCATCAATCTTTCGAGGGATCTTGTGGTGAATGAAGGATCTAATGTGACCCTGCTGTGCCAAGCCGGCGGGAAACCGGAACCTTCCATCAGCTGGAAGTTTATCTCCAGTCCAGGTGAGGCTTTGGTCCTGCTCATCATTACTGCTGGAAGTTTCCGCTGCTTCTCCCTCCTTCTTTTCTTCCACCTGTTTCCTGCTTCTGTCTGTGACTTCCTCTCTCCTGCTGGATTTCTCGCTTCACTAACTCCCATCATTACCTGTTCCAGATCATCACTGCGGTGTCATCATTTACTGCTAAATAAATTGCTCTCTTGTAATTGGGCTAATTAATTAGGAGAACTAATGGACAGAAATATCGTACGTGCAGTTTGGCTGATAGCACGTTATTCCCAGTAGAGGGCCATTCCCAAACCTTTTTCATTCCACTTTATGTATTTTCAGCTGGTTTGTTTCTTTATTAGCATTAAAACAGTGAAGCAAACAGAGAATCTGCTGCTATTTCTGTAAGCCTGTGCAGCCGTGCGTGGCCTAATTAGGAAAGACATGCATTTGAATGTGCTTGAAGGGCCCGACCTCTGGTGTCATTGTTACCGGGGTTTATTAAAGCTCTGGTTTGTGTGCTGAGATCCAGTGTAAATGTGAGCGACCCGCCTGTGAGGAGATAAGCTGGGAGAGGAACAGTAATTGTTTCTGTGCAGAAACAGAAAGCGAGTTCCTGCTGTTTCCCTGGAAATCACAGCCGCTTCCTTCTTTCCTGGGGGTAAAGCCACGGTTGACTTGATTGCTTATTTTATCATTTCCATTTTTCCAAAAGGACTCAAACGTTACATTAATGAAGCCGGTGAGCTAGTAGAGCATTACTTTGGATGGTAGGCTTACAAATGACCTGACTTTGGAAAAGCTGTTTGGTTCTGTTTATACAGCAGAAGCCATTTGGAATAAGATGGTTTATTTTTGAAAACAAGGATCAGTGGCAGCATGTTAGGCCGTTTGAAGTTTCACCGCTATGTTCAAACAAGTCAGTCCTGACTTAGTTTTTTTGTTTGTTTTTTTTTTATACCTGCACATGTTCAGAAAGGTCCAAACAGACAGCAGCAAACCATTTGAAAACAAACCATGCAAAGAGCAGTGTTGC